AACGTGGTGAACAATCAGCCAAGTTGATTCAAATATCAAAAATGTATTGACATGGTTGAATGCATAAGACAGTTCAACCTCTGGGTGCTTTTATAAGGTTTAATGAAGCGACCCTCACCGGGGATTCCTCAGAATGAGTAAGATAGTCTTATTGAGGAGAATCTCACAGTTTAATCAGCTGCCAAGAGGTACCAATTATAAATGGACCAGTTATGTAAGCAAGGGCTCATAGTGATGAACATGTTTGCTAATAGAGTAGCGGAGTACCTAAGTCAATCGTGTTGTTTGACGTGGATCGGTTGGACTAGGTAATCCAAGACCGTAAGGGATACCTTTGCCAAGGGCTTTACGATATGAGTCCTGGCAAGACTTCTTAATACTAGTGATGTCATTCCTGTTGGGAGGGCATTGTGAAGTAATCAGTCGTTGAGGGTTGGACGAACACAATATTTCGTCTCAGAAACACTTTTACAAGCTTTTGCGAAGTGACTCCCGGTGGGGATTCTTCAAGGGCTGACAGAATAATCCCTTGTTTGAGGAAGACCAAGGCAACCCAACCCATACAAGGTACTTTGTCAAGCACCAAATGAAGGGGGTTCCATGGGGCCTTGTCGAATGTACGAAAGTATCCCGCTTAGGCATGAATCAACTGGGTAAGCAGAATGTTGTAGCCAATACAACATGTGTTTCCTGACGAAACGATAAAACAATCGCTCATATCTCCAAGGAAGTGTTAAAAGAGTTAGACTAGCAAAGTGGTCTACCCCAAAAGATGCTTAGTTTTTGAGCTAAGCTATAACCATTGAGGGATATTCGTTGCATACGATGAGCGAGATAAGTCTGTCTACCACATTTGTATGTGATGAATGGGACATGCATGTCTACTAGACTCATGATGAGTGGGTACTTCAGTTTCAGACCCTACATAGAGCGGATCTTTGGAGGTGTGATAAGAGAAGAGCATGGCTTCTCTCATGTTGATTATTAGTAGCACTAGGTATAGGTCGCTTTATCGACAATCAAATTAAGAGAATTGCAAGGGTTCCCTTGCACGCGACTATTATGTACCCTGAACGACCTTTTAGCAGGTGTAAAGTAGTCACAACTCGCTTTATCGACAATCAAATTAAGAGAATTGCAAGAGTTCCCTTGCACGCGACTATTATGTACCCTAAACGACCTTTTAGCAGGTGTAAAGTAGTCACAATAATTTTTGGGTAACAAAGAAACATTAGAGAATGTATTTTCTTTATTGCTAAAAAATTGGGTTACAAAGTACAACAAATTTGAACATCAAATTTTTTTAAAGTATGATGAGTACATGAAAAGCAAAAGGAATCTAAACATAGTAACTCTTCAAGTATCACTCCTTGATAGGGAGCATCACATGAGATTCACCTGCATCAAACAACAAGTAGGCACCTCCTTTGTAGACTTTGTCAATCATGAATGGTCCCTCCAATGTGGGCTCAAACTTGCCATACCTTCAATGGTGAGACACAATGAGGCAACACAAAATAACACCAAGTCTCCAAGCATGATTGTCTTTGAACTCACCAACTTATTGTGAGCTCTGACCATTCAGCGCGTGGTATAACTCAAGTTTTTATTGAACTTATAGCTTGAGACACTAGAGGCTATCAAGATCCTTCAATTGAGTCAGATATTATCATCACTATTGACGTTGTTGCTTAGAGAAACTCACAGCGAAGGCATTTCAACTTCCAATGAAAGGATTGCTTCAAACCCGCATGTCAAAGCGTAAGGGGTAGAGCTAGTTGGGGTACAATATGCAGTGCAATACTCCAACAAGGCCTATGAAAGCTTCTCATGTCCTCCTTTTTGTTAGCGTGAAGGATCATTTTCATTAGGTTGAGCAAAGTCTTACTGAATGCTTCGGTCAAGCCATTGGCTCTTGGATAGTATATAGTTGAGCAACTCCAATCAATCTTGTGGTGTTGAGCGAATTGATTTATCTTGGTATTTATGAAAGTCAGCCCATTATTAAAAATTGATACGGCGCGATACACCAAATTGATACACTATATTATTTTTAAAAAATGCAGCAAATTTTCAGCTTTGTCCTCCCTAATGGAGGATGGCTTCCACCCACTTAGAGAACTAGACAATGGCTGTAAAAACGAATCGATGTCCTTTAGAGGAAGGAGGGTCGATGGGCCCTAGTATATCGGTTACCCAGACCTCAATAGGCCATGATGGAACTGTGTGGTGCAGTGCATTTGAGGGTGGGTGAGGTGTCAGACTGAATACATGACAATGATGACAATGTTTGCATACTCTATGCAATCAAGGGTCATCGAGGGCCAATAATATTCAAGTCTCTTAATCTTGATTTTTATCTTGTGGCCTGATTGATGGGACCCACACAGACCGTCATGGACCTTAATCAAGATTTTTTATATCTAATCCCTTCTAATGCATCGTAACCACATGTGGTCAAATGAGCATTAGTAGAGAGTACCATTCATAATGATATACAACAACACTTTCTCTTAAATTTTAACAGCTAGAGAGCGATCATCAGGAAGTATTCCCTTCATCAATTAAGTAATGATGGCTTAGTGACAATCATCGTATAGCTTGTCAGAAGCAGAGAGTATCACACCTTCATCACTCGCAGGGGTGGCACCCTATGGCTTGGGACACGTCGATGATAGGACCCTTTGATCTTGGATAACTACGGTAACAGGGTCTCCAGTAGAACTCGATATCTCATTGCTATCTTAGCTAGAGCGCCATATTTGCCTTTCATGGAACGAGAAATGTTAATCAACATGACATCAAGGATGTGCTCTAGTAATGTCATAACCCTCTTATGATAGGCTAAGAGGGCAGGTTTAAGGTCTTTATAAGTTCCCAATACGTGGATAATGTTGAGCTACAAATCCTCATAAAACCTTGATATTTTTGAAGTTCATTTGGATGGTTAATTCCAATCCTAGAGTCAAGCCTCGCATTATACCTCGTTATTCATACGTTGTTCTGTCAAGCTATAGGAATAACAAAGAATGCTATGTTTGACCGACACGAAAATAAAACCGATGCCGACTTTCACCCTCAAATGGGTCTTCCTTCAAAGAAGACGCCCCATATAAGTGCAAATCCCATTCATAATAGTCGATGAGTAACAAATTCTCATATGGAAAGTCATAATTAAATGACGAGTTAGCTGGGACCGGGTATGTCACTAGAAAATTGGCTTGAGCCTGTCCTTTGTTGACTCTCTAAGGGACATATAATATGTCGAATTGTGATAGGAGCATGACCCATCTCGCCTATCGTCCAGCTAGAGTGGGGCGAGTCATCGAATACTGCTAGTGGTTTACTCTTGAGATCAGAATAATATGATGCAAGAGCATGTAATGCCTCAACTTCTGAAGTGAAAATATCAATGCCAAACAATATCTCTAGATTGGCAGATATTTCATTAAACTAGGATGAAACACCGTTAAAGTAGTATAGAGCCTTCTTTTTCTCATCCTAGCTAACTTGGACTAAAAAGGCTTCTACTGACTTGTTTAGAGTGCCAATATACAAAATAAGGGAGTTTCCTGGGATGGGAGCAGCTAATACAGGGGATTCAACATGTAGCACTTGATATCATCGAAAGCGTCCTGACATGCTTTATCTTAGTGGAGACGAACGCCCTTTTTGGCTAAGTTTGAAAGTGATGGATTTGATCTTCCTGGGGTCAATCTCAATACCCCAATGTCAGAATATGAAGCCCGAAGACTTCCCAAAAAATATGCCAAATATGCACTTTAATAGGTTCATCTTCAGATGGTATTTTATAAAGAATTCAAAGACAACACTTAGATCTGAAAGATTATCTTATGTGGAATATCTCTTAACTAGTACATCTTCGATGTAACATTCGACTTCATGATGTAGCAGGTCGTCGAAGATGTGTGTCATAGCACGTTGGTATGTTGCCCCGACGTTGTTCAAGCTGAAAGGCATGACCATGTAGCAGAAGATACCTATAAGTGTGTGGAATGCCATTTGTTATTCTTCCTTTGGGACCATCGAGATCTGATTGTAACCCGATAAGCCATCCAAGAATGAAAACATCGCATGTGATGAGGCTTTGCCATCATCTTTGTTATGAGCAGAGGAAAATCATATTTTAGGCAAGTCTTATTGAGGTCCCGAAAGTTGATATAAACTCATATCCATCCGTTCTTCTTACGAAGGGGTACGATGTTCGCGAGCCATGTAGGGTAGGAAACTTTTGTAATGAAACCAACTTTGATAAGCTTTTAGGTCTCTTCGACGACCATCAACTCTATCTCGAGATGCATTCTCGGAAGCGATTGTTTGATGGGAACAACACTCGAGTCAATGGCTAGACTTTGAATGACCACTTCAAGAGCTAAACCAGGCTTTTGGGATTAGCTCTATGCTAGGCATTCTCAAAACTCTATGAGGATTTCTTGACTTTAGGGACCACAGAGTATGGTACGAGTTTGCTTATAAAAGTTGGACAGGGATTGTCAACAGTGTCTAGGTTGACCTCTATCAACTTGTTGACAGTGAAAGAGTCGGATACAAGTTTACTTAAAAAAGTAAAAATCAGTTGGTCGATTAGTTGCGATCAGATGCTCTTGTAAGTAGCTTGGGTGGTCAGGGCTACAGTTGTGATTCACCGATGGAGTCCTTCTGCACCGTATGGGGGTCGACTCTGATTGAGCTATTGATTGCTAATAGTCGGCTCCTATCACTCGTATCATATTTCTTTAGTTTGATGCTCTAATTTCCACTATTCGATATCGTTCGAGGACTTTGAGATCCATTTCGATGGGTTTGGTGTATGCATATCAACTAAATTTTAGTTTTTATAGCCTTATGCATGCAAAGAAGTATGTGATATCTTAAAAATTAAAATGATGATAATATAATAGGTATAGAAAATAAAGTTTACGTGTTAGAAATGTAAATGCGTTAGAATTGGGCGTATATGTGTAAATGCCCGTCATAAGTACATCTGCCTTCACAGCTCGGAAGGTTCGGCAATCGCTAGTCTGACAACTGTAGGGCTTCAGCAAAACCCTAACCATCTTCCAAATCCGGGGTTCTTCCGCTCCATCGTTTTCTCATCTTCCACAAAGGTAAAATTCTCCTTCGCCTCCACGCTACTTCGCTCTACACTCCATTTCAACTTGTTTCCATCCTCTCACGCGATTCCCGTATTTTATTTCTGGCTACTTCTCTCACTCCTCATCTTGCCGGCTTCCTCTCATACATTATCGACTATTTGGTGTTTCAAGCCATGAAATCTGCTCTGTCTTTTGGTTTAGGATTAATTTTATACTATCTCTGTCACGATGAAAAGGATACGGGCTATTATGACATCGGTTTTTCGTTGTCATTTCTTCTATACGTGTATGAGTTAAGATTTTGTAATATGTGAATTGAAGTAGTTGTATGAGGCTTGTTGGTGTTTCTGGCGTCATTTTAGATGTCCGACGTGCTTATTGGAAGTTTTGGGCAAACGTCTGACTTCTAAGGAATCAAAAGGTCTTTATTGTTGCAAATCTCGAATTAATGTTCATAACAAGTTTTGTTAGGTAGGATTGCTTTTTTGGAGGTCTTGAAGATTAGATCCTCCTCCTTATTTTGTTTGGTTTAGTTTATTTCGACTGGTTTGGCTGAACACATATTTGACTGGTTTTATATTAGCACTTTTGGCATTATTATTTATTTTAAATAGTTTCTCAGCCATTGGTACCATAATTGCATTGTGACAGAACACGTTCTTTATCTTTCCTGCAAACAATTTCTCATGGAGGATTGGCTGCATCTTCTTAACCAAAATAGAAAAAAAAAAAAAGATAAGCTGCGTTCTTTTCTTATTTTGCAAATAGAGCCAATATTCACCTTTTAAATATTTTAATCCAACTTAATTATCTCCTTCAAGAATCTTCGCTGATTTTGGTATGTGGAAAAAACTGTTGAGGTATTTTATTTTATAAATTTTCTTTTGATTCCAACTAATCTACTGGATCTCCTTCCGTTAATTTAACTAAAATTTGTGTTGAAGCCAGCTTATACGTTCTTTTTTTTGCTGTAACATATCCTTGCTTCTGTTACTAAAGGCCCAACCGGATTTCATTTACGATTAACCTGTATTTGTTAAGTAATATTCTTCCCATGTAGCTTTACAAAGATGATTTAGTATTGGGTTCATTTTTGATAACACGTCCAAATTCTTTTGAGAAGTACTAAACTTACAAATCCTTTCACCCATATCATTATTTGGTGCGTAATATTGATGGTTAATTCTTGCTTAAAGTCTGTATTCACCATAGGTAATAGTCTGACCAACTGTCCATAGCATAACTCAAGCATGGCTTTGCTATTTAAATCTTCCAAGGGACCTTTTGAACGCTATCCTAATGAACCAAATGGAATAGAAAAGTGGCAAAATACTTCTCCATGTGTTTCTCAGCCAAGTGAATTCAAAGTGCCACCAGCGTCTGTAGTTTTCCGTGTGCTTTGCTTTTCTTCATAGGCTGGAAGTATGATTGATAAAGGAGGTGGCATTGTAGCAACAATATACCACGAGACTGGTGCAAGAATAAAACTTGAAGAAATTGTTTTGGTTTGTGATGACAGTTAGCTTGTGAAGGCATCGTTATGACTATCGATCAGTTAATCAAACTGGCTTGTAAGCCAATGAGTCAAGCTTAGAAAAATTTAGCCCGAGCTTGTTTAATAATTGAGATTGAGTTGGAGCTCGTGGCTAGATAAACTTGACTCATGAGCTCATTAATGACTTGCTCTTGGTTTGCCTACACCCCTAATTTAGATCAATTTTGGTGAGGATTATATCTGCCTTTACTCAGAAGGTTCGAGTCGTTTGAGCAGCTATTCTGGCCGCACAGGTAACCCTTCATTTCTTCAAAACCCCTAAATTTCTTCCACACAGGTAACATTTACCTTTGCCTTTAGGGCTTCAACAAATCCACGATTTTTCTGCATTATCGTTTTCTCATCTTCTGCACGTGTAACATATCCCTTTGCCTCCCCTCTTTCCCGCCCTAAACTCTATTCCAACTCTTCTCTTCCCCCTCAGGCTATCCCGTAGGTTTTATTTACCGCTACTTCTTTTACTCCTAATAGTTCCGGCTTACTCTCATACATTATGGACTATTTGGTGGTTCAATTCGTTAGATTTGTTTTGTCTTTAGGTTTAGTATCAATTTTATCATATCACTGTCACAATTAAAACAATACATGGCAAATAGTTGCGAAATAGTGTTTTTTTTTCTATTTTGTTCTTTGTTGTCTTTTCTTCCCTACTTGTAGGAGTTGAGATTTTGTACTGTTTTAACATTTTCAATAGGTTTACGGGGACAGTCTTAAGAGTGAGAGTAGAAGCTACCTGTGTTGTGTTAAGAACTTGTAGATTTTGATTGTTTTTCTTGTCTCACTTAGCTTAATGCAAACCCATTTGATTTAAAATAGTTTTATGTTGACTAATTGGTGTTTTTGGAGTCATTTTAGATGTCTGACACTCGACTTTTGTACCAGACAATGCACATTATCTTTCTTGCCAAGACTTTCTTGGAGAAGATTGCTTGAGTTCCTCAACCAAAGTAGAAAGAAAAAAAAAGTTTTCTTTATTAGTAAACAGAGTCCTTTTTCACCTATTTTAATATTTAAATCCAACTCAATTATCTCATTCAAGGATCTTAGTTGATTTTGGAATGTGGGAAAAATGTTGAGGTATTTTCTTAAAGGTAACTTAACTTTTGTTTCTAACTGATCTGTTGTATCTTGACTAAAATTTGTCTTGAATGCACTTTATTCTGTTTTTTTTTACTTTAACGTATCAATGCCTCTTTTGCTAAAGGCCCAACCGAATTTCATATTAAACCTAGCTTGGCTAACCACTATTTGTTTAGTAAAATTATTCCCTTGTTGCGTCACAAATATGATTTACTATTGGGTTCATCTTTATAATACATTAAAATTCTCATGAGTAGTATTAAAGAACAAGATTCATGATTTGTCATCGTAAAATGGAGAAATTGATCTTTTTAAGAGATAACTAAAATAATAGAAATAGAGATTTGGTTAAGAAAACATTGTTTTTAAGATTAGTGAATTATAAATCTTCTCAGATATAAGAAATCTTTCTTCACAAATGAATTGAACAAATTGAGAGGGACCTAGTCATGATATAGAAGGAGCTTAACGGTCTATTGGTTCTCAACATCGAACAAATTTTTTCGGGATTTACATATCTACCGCCCAATTTTTTTGTATTTAGCACTATTTAAAATTGCACAATTTGAGGCGCGCCTTGAGGCCCACATCAATGTTGTTCCGAAGAAAAATGCTTTGAGGCGTACACCTCATATTGTTTAATGCTCGCCTCACCTCAATTCTATTAAGTCATGCACCTCTCTTACTTAGGGTCCGTTTGGGGCAGATTTTTGCCGCAACGCGTCTCTCCCCCGTGAATCCAACCCGTTTGAGGCGGAGTTTTTTCCACAGTGCGGCGACAGTTAAGCAAAACGCGGGTCGCAGGATCAATCCCCCGACCCGCGTTTCTCCTCCTGCAAGTTACGCACTTGCCCTTGACGACGACAAAAAGGATCCCACCTACCTCAGCTTCGCAGCAGATGAGGATCAGGCGATCCCACGGTAATCTCCAACGAAGCGGGATCATGATGGTATGGCGTAGGGAGAGAAGTGAAGCTTAGTTGCAATTCTCAATAAAAAGAGAAGGCATGCGCGGCAGTGGAAAGGAAGGATCATAGTGGCTTATGTAGTGCGGAATGATGAGGTATATCGGAACAGGAAGAAAATTCGTGAGTTTTACAATTCATGTACTCGAACAGGGAAGGAGATGAAGTTTGGTTGCGTGAACAAAGGATGGAACGATGGGTTTGAGAGCTTTTGTATCGATATCGAACAGTGAGGATTAAAACTTGGGGGTCTTGTGCAGTTTCAAGTTTTAATTTTATTAATTTAATTGATTAATAATTAATAGTAAATTCATATATTTCCAAATTTTAATTGATTAATAATTAATAATAAATTCATATATTTCCAAATTTATTATAATTAGATACATTATTATATTAGTTTTTAATGATTAATTAATTATTTTATAAACATATTTTTAAGTTTTCTTAATTAATAAAATCAATCAATTAATTAATTTTAATTTATTGTTTAATAAATAATTTGTTTAATTAAAAATTTATTTTATATTTTGTTATATACATGAATATTACACAGAGACGTGATGTTCATTTTTCCAGAAGTAACTGTCTCACAGCTGTTTTCACGCAGCTGCAATAAACAGACAATCAATTTCTCCTCGGTAGCTTTTTCGCAGCAGCTTCATGGGGCAGCGCAACTGCAACTAAAAGGCTGATAAGCTGCCGCCGCCCCAAACAGACCCTTAGTTTTTTACCTAAATATAGACAGTTTGAATAAGAGCCCAATTTGTACTCTCATAAACAATAGTTCTCTCCCTAGTTAAGCTTCCCATCGTTGTTGTCGGTTGTCGGTTGTCTGCTGCCGCCGCTGCAACCTGCTTTTGCTATAGTTGCCTATTGCTCTAGCTGCCACCACCATCGTAAGTTGCTCTTGCCGTCACCATCACAAGTTTCTCTTGCCGCCATCATCGTCAGTTGCTCCAACTTTTGATCATTTATTATATTTTTATTTAGATCTATGGATGTTATTATGTTGGTTGGACAATTCAAGTAAGAGAAGTCTACTATTCTAAATTCATCTTATGTTTTACTTTGATATTTTAATTTATTTTCATTTCATATTATTATGTTGGTTGGACAATTCAAGTAAGAGAAGTAAACTATTCTAAATTCATCTTATGTGTTTTTTCATTATGATAGTTTAATGACTTGATAAGTTGATGATTACATTATATTGTTATTTTGTGAATGTTATTATGTGATGTTAACTTACGCAATTTGTTATTTCGTATAAACCTAATTTTTTACTTTTTACCATGATAGAATATTAATGTCTTTGTTTAATATAAATATTAATTTTTATGCTACTGTATTTTGTTTATCACTTTATTTTGATTTGCACAATTTTCAAACTGTGAGGCTTACGCCTCAGACTGCCTCGTGGCTTATGCCTCAGCTCACGAAAGGAAAACACCACAATAGCCATATGTGCAATTTTAAACATTGGTATTTACATATCTAAAATTTTAAAGTTTCTATTTAATTGCATGACACTTGAAATTTAATAGCAACACAAATGTCTCACTAGGCTACTGTTCTAATACCACCCTTACACTGCATAGTCAATTCCTTCATCGAGAGGTATTAGTCATGCGAACACCCTCTCACATTCTTCTCTTGTTGAAGCCCTCTCATCTTGATCTATGCCTCTAGACTCCAAACATACAAAGCTTCCCCAACAACGGCGCATGATGCTTTCTCTTGACCACCGAAGGTCAACCCTCCCAGTGAACATCTAGTATTGGTCTCTCTCGCTTAAGGTTATATATTCTCACACGTATATATGTATTTATGTATAAATGTGTGGTTGTTATAGTGGTTAGCATTAGAAATACTTGTGGAGTGATCAAAGCATGTTTACGTTAAAGATTAACATCAAGTTCTTTTTTGTATTATTTATTGGGATATTTTATAAAAGACTTTCACGGTTTTGTTTGTTGATTTATCAACCTATTGAATGTTGATGTGTGATATTTATGAATAACATAATTGTGATCAATTAAACTTCTTTAGTAAATCAAAATTCAAAATAATGGAGAGAAATATAAAAGAGAAGGGCCTTGAGATTAGCTAAACTAAGGTCTAGTATTTGATATGCAGTTTTGGGGGATGTAAAATATATTATGTTTAAAATTCTTTAGAATATTAAGTATTATGTATGATCATTTTAAGTATTTTAGATTTATTAGCTATTTTGTCTACCATTAAAAGGTGGCTTGTCATGTTAAAAGTTTAACCATACATTGTCATTCTCGCAGTTGAACCAGCAGATTTGGTAATCATATGAAAACTTAGTCCCTTCTTCTTTGTGTTGTTTTGGTCATGATTTTTTTTTAATTATTATGCTAAATTGAGGAAAAAAAGTCATATCAACATCACCTAAGTAGTGATTTCGCGCATCCAATTTAATCAACCAATATTTCTTCATTTATTGTGACATTACGGCCTCTTCTATTGTTCTCTAGATCTTATTGGCATTCAACTAGGTAATAATCAATTACTTATGCGAATCACAGTTTCAAAAGTGACTATAGAATCAATGATTTTTTCTTTTTCAAAATCTATGCCACTATATGAATGACACTTAAAACCTTATGAATTTAAAATCTCTACCATTTTTTTCTCAGTGAATGATCTGCTCCATAATTTTCCTGCATCACAAAGTATCTCTTTTTTTTATATTATCATATTTTATACCATGTTTTTTACTTGCTCTGCTATCATGCCCGCTTCCATTTCTCTCTTAAGTTTTGTCAGTTCTCTAAATGATTCCTCCTACAAAGTGGTGAAATTGAGTTTTTATATCTCGTGCAGATGGGATATATTATTCAAAAGGATGTCCCGATTAATTTTTCTTCTGTTTTTTTTACAATAGGATTTGGTAGAGATTACCAATCAAAAACTATATTTTTTCACATTCTCCATATAAACTTATGAATGTACTTTTTTAGATCTACATTTAAATCCCTAACCCCTAAGTCAACCTAAATCACAACTTGATATGAAGTTATAAAAAAATGGCTCCAACCATTTGGCCAACTTATACCATATACAACTTTTATATAGAATAAACAATGATGAACAATGCATATAGGAAGTAGCCGACCCGTGTGCTTGATTATGAAGGAATTTATCTTCTTTACTTGGAATATATTTCAATATTTGATTTTTTATTTACTAGATACTGCCTATTTTTATATTTTCCTATTTTGGTGGGGTTTCTAGTTATAAGGGAACCCAATTTCCTATTTGTGTGGGTTGTTTTGTGGGGATATGTATTGATTGGTGCAGGAGATGGATAAAGCGGACTTTAGAATAGCTGAGATAGGCTTAAGTTGACAGCTATTTGCCATGCAAACACTATTTCTAAGTTTGCTAAATAAAGGTTTATAAATGTGTTTTGAAATACTATTGCTGCTATAACCGGCGTGCTTCGTTGGAAGGCTACATCTTGGGGCTTTCATAATCTTTCTGTAGTGTCCTACTTGTGTTGTTTGCTCCCTGTTTATTAAACTTGAAGAACCAGTTTTAAGTTTAATATTATTTTGATACTCTTTACGTATTGCATAGTTTGTCTAATTATAGCTTCTTGACACATTTTGTATTGCTTCATTAGTATTGGGATGATAAGAATTCTTTATAGTCAGCCTATTAAATATTGTGGGACCGTTATTTATAATTATTTTATTTCTGAACTGTTCAGGTTTTTTTCGCAGTCTTTTGCAATGGCTGGAAGAACTCAGATAGCTACCAAGAGTTCTGCTCTTATAGCCATGATTGCTGATGAGGTATGCTCCTTTTGTATATTAAAGTTGGTGTATTTTCACCTATTAGAGGTTTTCATGACTGTAGCTTCTCCTCTGAGTTGCTTGAGGCTTATTGCATCTTTATTGTTTAGTCATAGGATGAAGTGATTAATACTTTTTGCTCTTTTGGATTATCAATACTTGCTAATTTTCTTTTATGCTTCTGCATAATATATTTCTTCTCTTAAAATTTTTATTAAAAATACCTCAACGAATTATCACCTACTTCCTAAGTATTTACATATCTAACAACTTAATTTTACTTTTTATATTTATATCATCAAATTTTTCACATCACATAAAAAAATCCGCCATTTTAACTTTTTAAAAGTGAAATGCACATTTTCATATATAGGTAATGTGTCATATATGTAAAAAATGAAGTTTAGGTGTTATATATGCAAGTACAAAGGAATTGAGTGGTATGCATGCAAATCTTCCTAAAATAATTTGTTCGTTTGCTTATTGATGCATACCCAGTATGGTAACCAACTCATATGTGGTGTTCCAAAAATATATTTAGATTTGCTACCATGTCTACCAGGAGGAGAGCTTGACTAGTTACTAAATTTCTTACAACACTATATTACCATCTGCTTGACTTATATGTTACATTCGGGTTAGTGTTAAGGAGGAGTCAAAAATGATATCTACCCTTAAGGACGGTCATTATGATTGATGTTTGTTAACAGTTCTTGTGCAGTTCTTTTTGGCTAGTTTGTTAACGAATGAGCCGAACGTTAACATTTTATTTAAGCATGATCAAAATCCTTTTTTTTATTATTAGTATAGTTGTCTGTGTTAATTCCTCTTCTTGGAATGCAAATTATAATGAACTGAACACAATCAAAGAAGTACAAATATTAATGATATGAACCGAACACTAATAGTGAAAAAATAATGACCTGCACTTGAGTATGGCTTTATTATTATTTTTTTTTTTGCTACTCATTTGTGCACCTACTTGTACTGATCCCATCGGAGATTTGATTAGGCTTATTTTTTTGTTTTAGTAAAAAATCTACATTAAAATTCATTTGGAGGCCTCTTTGCTTAGTGTACCATTCAGAAACTTCTCAGGCAAACTTATATAATATTTCTCAAACAAATTTTATTATGTACACATGTCGGTAATGTCCTAGAAAGTTTTTAAGATCTTGGCTAGCCAGCATGACCCGATAATTTCTATTTTTTAGTTCTAAACTTGGACAAAATTAAATCGAGATTGCTTTGAATGTTTTGTGAGCTTTACATTTGTTTGATGTATCTGTTTTTGATTTAGGCTAATGTACCTATTGATGAGGGAGATTTTTTTTCTCTGCAAATATAGTGACTCATATCTTTAGTGACTATCTTTGAAGTCTTGGACATTTGAATAGAAGTTTTTTTTTCTTATAGGTTCTACTTGAGATTTAAAAAAAGTAGGTGTTATCTCCACCATGCAACTACTTTTTTAGTGTTAACATTTAGAACATCTTTGATGACACCTAGTTTGATTGTAGCATTAGTTGTATTTGTTGAGTAACAATTCTGTTGTGATAGTAAAGGAAGATGGAAATTGCTACTGCTATTGATTATGGTATATAAAAAAGGGATGAATTTCTTGTTGTAGATGGGATGAATTCTTAAGATTCACAATACATCCTATAGCTTGATCACCAATTGGTTTGTGAGTATTTCTCTATAGCTTATGTTATTATTGTTGGGGATGATTTTTTCCTTATCTCCTTATCTGAACAATGTATTTGTACAGCAGTAAAATCAATATTCGCTGTATAAGCTGTTCCTTTTCTATTTACTGATGTTTTATTTGAGGGTTATCTACCATTACATGCCTTTGAGACATTCGTCTTTTTTTCCTTGACCTATTTCAGTTCTGTCGTACCTCATCTTGGTGTTTTTGATTTTTCCACGTTCACCATATTGTATAATTTATATTGAATAATAGTACAATTCATCTTAAACCATTAAACCAATATTTTTTTTTTCTGTGGACTGTTAAGCTATTCACAACTCCAGCATCATCATGTTACCGCTCCACTTTATAATAGCTCACAATGACAGTTAGTTGAGAATAATTATTATAATGTAATTGCCAAGCATAGTTTAATTCTATTATTTTAGTATAGAGACGTGATTCTTTCATTTACAATTTGCTCCATAAATAAGAACATAACAAATTTGATCATCCTTTTCAATAAAGTTTATTGATTAGTAATGAGACGTTGAATTCATTCTTGCGAATGTTTTTTTCTTAAATTTTGGCAATAATGTGTACATTGTCGCTCTTAGAGTAGTATATGATCTAAACTGCTATTTGTTTTAGTATACTAGTTCTCAGGAGCAAAGCCACCAACTTCTTTTGCTCTGTCTTATTCTCACTTTTCTCTCGATGAGAATAATGATAGCTCATATTTTAATTTTTTCCTACTTGTTTCATTAGTCTTTTGCACGTCACAACTTGTAGATTAAGTTGATATTTGAGTATGGCTCAACTAGTAGGAATTTTGACTATGGACTTTTTTAGGCTAAAGGAAAGCTTAGAAAGTTATATGGAGGCAAAAATATTCCCATCATGATAAGTTTGAAGTAAGAGATGTTTGAAGGATTTGATGTTTTTTCCAGTATCTCTAATTATTTGACCAAATAGATTGTCAATCATATAATTGCCACGATGACCACATTTGAAACCTTGCCGCCTAATTGGTAACAACAAAACAATATGAAGAAAATTTCAATCTTCAAAGAGAGATGAGGATGGAAAGAATCAATAAACACTTCTTTAAATCTTGTTGATCTACCTGATTAAATGTCCACAAAGAAGTACATTCTTAATGCAAAGTTCAAATGGATGTGAATAAGAACTAGGAGGATCATAGAGTACTAACTTGGACCATAGAATGAGTACCAAAGGAGGTCAACCATAAACCCAAGTGGCCAAACATGATGTGGGATAGATTTATTGAATTCAATGGTGAAAAGATAGTTTTTATGAAGACTTTTCATAGATAGAAGGAGTACTTTTTGTACTAATTCTTTGGTTAGGTATAATTCATTGCTTGGGATAGTACATCAACTTGAGCTTCATTTAAGATTGACCACTCTATGTTCAATTAAAATATCTTAGCGTTATGAAAGGATTTTTTTTCATGCATATGGACTTTATGAATCAACTTGGGCTTCATTTAAGATTGATCACTCTATGTTCACTCAAAATATCTTAGCCTTATCAAAGGATTTGTTATCATGCGTGTGGACTTTATAAACTAAAATGGCCACAGTTAGCTGGTCACACCAAATTGACAAGTTGTTCTGCTTGGATAAAAAAAAATACTCTTTATGATGTGATTAAGATTAACATCATTAGTTTAGAGTTGATTTTATTTCCAATTTCTCTTCACAATTAATTGCTTGAGCAACTGTCATACAATTGGGAGATGTGATCCAAATGGCTCTTTTTTATAAACATATATTTGAAAGATCAAACATCAAATAAAAAATTGAAGGTTTAGTTTTCAGAATTATAATATCAAATCAGGGGTGGATGGTTTAAATAGGATAGAAAAGATATTTGAGAGGAATCAATGAAACTATCCATTATTCTCCCTCTAATTTTCACCACATATTGCATGTTCAACCATACATCAATGGGAGATCCAAGGGAATGTTTTCTTGCTTTAGGCCATGGTTATCTATAAAATCTTCGTTGATCTTCTTGAAAGAAAAATATTAATGAACTGAACCGAAACAAAGAAATATCAAATATTGGTGATTATGAACTGAACACTAATAGTGAAAAAATAATGAACCGAACTCAAACATGGCTCCATTTATTTTTGTGCGACTTTTTTAGACGCCTACTTACACTGATGCACTCATAGATTCTGAATAGGCTCATTTTTTGTTTTAGTGAAGAATCTACATAAAAATCCATTTGGATTCCTTTTTCCTTAGTGTACTATTCACATACTTCTCAAGCAGACTTATATCGTACTCTCCTCTATTTTTATTGGGCAGCCTAAGCAAAGAGGACATCAAGTTGGTTTTTTTTGGTACATTTGCTTGGGGAGTGTAGCAATATTCTTTTTGGTTTTGCTTATGGTTTGATGTAATTTGCATGTTTCTTGGTAATGGTTCATAATTGAGCCTTGTATCAATTACATGTTAAGGAATTGATTAGTATGGGCTTCACATATCTAAATTATGGAATTGATTTCAGCTTAATGTATAGATTAAGAACTAAAATTGTTTACATGGAATTTATAAAGTAATTAGCGACATGCAATACTGCAATAGGATTCTTTTAAGTTTACACAATAAAGATGAAGTTAACATTCTTAAAGGATTGTTTATTTCTATTGCTATATGTATGTTGTCCGAGAATTCCGTGAGCAATTGTGAAGTTGAATTCAGTTTGTATAGCTTCTATTTATGGATGTCAATTTTTTGATCAAGTCCTTGGATCATTGTAGAAAAGAAGTATTGACATTTTAATCATATCTATATTTTTAACATGAAGCATATAATTGTTTGGAGGTTTCTCTAAAATGAACTTTGTTTATGTTATTTGAAAGGAAGCTAAAGAACAAACATGTCAGTAATGTTATAGGAGTTTTTTGAGATCATGGTTAGCTGGTATGATCATATAATTTTGTTTTTGGGTTCTAAACTTGGACAACATAAAATTGAGATTGCTTTGAATGTTCTATGATGTTCACATTTGTATGGTTTGGTTTAGGCCAATTTTACTATTGAAGAGGAGGATTTTTTAATGTAAAAGTATAGTGAAGCATGTCTCTTGTCTTTTGTGACTAACATTTAAATCTTGAACATCAGAATTGAAGTTTCTTCATTGTAGGTTCTACCTGAGGTGTAAAAATGTAGGTGTCATCTCAAGCATGTAAGTACCCTTTTAGTCATGGCATTTAGAACATCTTTTAGGACACTTAGTTTGATTGTAGCGTTGTTGTGCTTGTTAAATAACAATTATGTTATTATAGTAAATGTAGATGGCAAGCAAGATGCTACTGATCATGGTATGCTACTGATCATGGTGTCACTGATCATGGTGTCAAAAAAAAAAAAAAAATCTTATTGTAGTTCAGATCAATTCATAAGATTTGTAATGCGTCCTATAGCTTAATCGCCATGCTATAATTTGGTTCATGAATATTAGTTTGCAGCTTGTAATGCTATTTTTTAGGAGGATTTTTTTTCTTTTTCTTCTTATCTTAACAATGTATTTGTTCGGTAGTAAAATCAGTCATCTTTGTATGAGTTTTACCTCTTCTATTTCTTGTTATGTTTTGTTTTATGGTTATCTACGGTTACCACACCTTTAAGACATCCGTATTTTTCCCTTAAGCTATTTCAATTTCATTGTATCCCATCTTGGTGTTTTTTATTTTTTTATTTTCACCATATTGTACCATTTATATTGAATAATATTAAAGTTTATCTTAAATTTGTATAACCCGTATTATTTTTTGTCTACTGTTAAGCTATTTGCAACTCCTTGAGCATCAATATGTTACCTCTATGCTTTTTAATGGCTCATGATAATAGTTAGTTGAGAAAATTATTAAATTGTAATTTTGAAGCATAAATTTATTCTATTTATTCAGTACAGAGATGAGATTCTTTCATCTAAAATGCACCACATAAATATGAACATGACAAATTTAATCATCCTTTGCAATGAAGTTTGTTGATTAATAACAGGATGTTGAATTCTTTCTTGCGTGCGTTTTTTTCTCAATATTTTCATGTTTATTCCACAGGTATTTTGCACACCCCAACTTCCAGATTAAGTTGATAGGAGATTGTGGTTTCAACCAGTAGGAATTTCATTATGGATTTTATGAGATTAAAGGAAAACTTAGAATGTTATATGCAGACAAATTTTTTAATCAAGAGAAGGTAGAATTAAGAGAAGTTTACAGGATTTGAAACTTTTTCTAATTTCTCAAATTATATGCCTAAATAGATTGACGATCATAAAGCTGATCACTTTTGAAATTTTGTTGCCTAGTTAGTATCTGAAAAACTATATGAAGAAAATGTGGGTCAATCTATGTAGAGAGATGTTGAAGTAAAGGATCAATAAGTACTTCTAGTTGATCTACCCAATGAAATGTGCACAGAGGAGTACGTAGTTCATGTGAAGTCTAAAAAGATGTGAATAAAGCCTAGGAGGATCATATAGAGTACCAACATGGACTATAGAATGAGTACCAATGGATGCCAACAATATATCCAAGAGGCCAAACATGATGTCGTGATTGGTTTAAAGGATTCAAAGATGGAAAATAGTTTTTATGAAGAGTTTTTGTAAGAAATAAGTGTTTTCTTTGTACGAGTTCTTTTAGAGAGATACAATTCATTTCTTGGAATAGTACATCAACTTTAGGTTCATTCAGGTTTAATCAAATTATAATCAATCATAATATCTTAGTTATCGAAAGTCGGTTAGCATGCATATGAACTTTCTGAACCAAAAAGATCACAGTGAGATGGTCACATCAAAAGGACAAGTTATTTAGATTAGATTAAAAAAAATAGAAAGATCAGCATTTTTAGTTAAGAGTTGATTTTATTTCCAATTTGTCATTGCTCAGTGAATAAATGTATGAGCAAGTGTCATAGAAGTGGAAGATGATCCAAAAGGTTTTTATTTTTTTAACTATTTCTTTGGAAGATCAAATTTGCAATTTAAGAAATTTAAGTTATAATTTTCAAAATTATAATATTAAATTAAAAGTGACAGATAGGATAGAAAATATATTTATGTGATGGAATCAAGGAAGCTAACCATTATTCTCCCTCTAATTTTCTGCACCTATTTCATTGTCAACCATACGTCAAGGAGAGATTCAATGGACTATTTTGTTGATTTAAGCTATGGTTATCCATAATTTGAATGGATGTAAGAAATTTAAGATAAAATTTCCCAAATTTGTTGTAATTGTGGATAGACTCATTGGCTATTTTCTGTTAAGTTGGAGGACTTGGGACATAAAAATTAACTTTCGAATATTTAAATAATTTTTTCTTTATCTCTCTCTCCAATTTGCAGCCAAAGAGGCTAACCAACCCCCATCTCGCTCTCTATTTTGCTATAAACTTCATGACTCTTTCTTAGCCCCCCAATTCTAGATCAGAGATTGCCATCTTTCCTTAGTTTGGAGATCAACTTCTTAGCATATGCAATTTGTTTGTAATCCTTCATAGAGGCCAGGGTTAGGCCAACCAAATGTCACATTGAGAACGTGACATGCGAGTTTTTCTCAAAAAACTGAAACGGTTTGGCCAGAATCGGTTCAACTGAGAGAGGACTCTTTAAAGCGGGGGGGGGTGTCTCCCCCGCCCGCCCCCACCCCCCCTCCCTGCTTTCATTAGGCGGGAATTTTCACTCCTTTATATTTTCATTTCCCTCCCATCCCTCTTCTATTTATATATTGTTTGTAGTGATAGGGTTCAGCTTATGTTATTTTCCGATTTCTGTTTGTGAGGCCAGCTGTCGACGTTCTGTTTTCCCCTCTAGGGTTGTATCCGATGGTTAGGGTGGTGCTCCGGCTGTATCCCTCTCCTTGTTGGTGATTGTTTCCTTCTTTTGCTCGCTTCCACCCTCACCCTGCTCGCTGCTTCCCCTGCATCCCGTCCAGCAAGCTCTTGATTCCCTCAGCCCATCCGGCAGCGATTTTCAGACGTAATACCTGCAGGATCCTTCTGCAGTTTCCGTTCTGCCAGAATCACTGCCGGTCCGTCTCCCACTCCAAACTTCCACCTCTAACCCGCACTCCCTCCTGTCCAACCCGCAACATCCCCACCTCCCCACAGGCACCTGTACCGCAGCTGTCACTCTCCTCACAGCTATCCCACTACACCTTCCCGTGGTCCCGTCTTCCTCCCCATGGCCAACCTCCCCACAGCCGGCCTTCTCTTTTCCTTCCCCTCTACAGCCCAATCCTTACAGTCCAACAGCCCAACAGCAGCTCTTCTCCAATTACTTCCCCACTCTAGCCCAACTCCAACTGCTCAACAGCAGCCCTTCACCCTTTCCATCCACCTCTCCGGTCCAATCCCATATAGCCCAACAACAACCCTCTCCCTTTTCTTCCCCACAGCAATCTGAACCTGTACAACCCCTCCTAAACCTTCCTGCTGCCATCACCCTCCACCCCACATACAACCGCAACACCGCCACCCTGATCCACGCCCTAGCTTTGTGTTTGTATTGTATTTTCTTATTGCAACTGTCCTTGTTTGTAATCCCTTGTAATTTAACAAAAATATTTCTATTTTTATTGTGGTTTGGGTTTCCTTCGGTATCATAACGGACTCTTATCCACATACAAATTGAGTGTTATGCATGTAAATCTCCCAAAAAAAATGGTGTTCAATAGAGGAAGTGCCATCAATTGTAAAGGACATTACATGAAGAGGAAATAAATACCAATGAGATCTAATGAAGAAAAACGTTAGACATATTGAAGGTCTATGTTTGAGGCAAAGTGCGTGCGCTATATAGTTGGTGATGAATGTCTATTAAAGGTCATATGAAAGAACCATTATTGATGAATTATGAGGAATATTTTGAAAATCCTTTTGTAGATTACTATTTCTGCCGAGGAGAACGATCTCAAGTTACAGGAGGACCTCAAAGTGGAGATTGAGTTGATTGTAGTGGAATCAACAAGAACTTAGTATGTGATGGAACCGAGTAAATGATTGAGAAGTACCAGTGCAGCTTTAATGGTCATGATAATCCTTAGAAGTTAAAAATTACACTTTTTATAGCCTTAGAAGCTGTTTAAATGGATTCTGAGATGTGTCTGTTCTTTTCTAAAAATTCTAGGATTACTTCGTTCGAGCTGTGCAGAATGATTGTGATGAGGCCAAAGTTGATGGCTTGTTTGGGATATTTTTTTTTATTTTTTATTTTTTGTTGTTTTTGCTTTTATTTTAAAATATGTTTGTTTATTGTATTTATTGTGTCTTTTAATTTTTGTTTTAAAAAATAAATTAATTTTTTTTTAAAACACCTAAAAGTTGTTTTGAGTGAGTTTAAAAACAACTAAATATGCTATAACATATCAAACTTGTTTTATTTCAATTGAAAATATAAGCAAAACAAAATCTAAAAGTTATCCCAAATGGCCCCTAAGTTAATGGTCATGGCTACTTTAAAATGGTATTATAAAATGCTATAGGGCATTTTGTTGCAGATGTTAAATAGAAACTAGTAATTTAACTATGGTTTTCTTCAATCCAAGCGTTCTTCCTTTGTTTGTCTAGAGATTGCCATGGTATTGCCGGACCAAGATCCGTTCTTACATCAGTATAGGTTTGAATCTCATGTTTTCAATGTTATTTGTCTCATTTTATTCATTTAATCGAATGTACTGATGAAGAAATTGCAACTCTTGTTTAAAATATCTGAAAAGCTGTGAATCCTTGGAATGATTCCATAATCTGCATAGTGTTGGTAAATCTTTTCATTAAATAAAGTTTTGAAAGAGTTGGCCACCTGCTAAGGTTTTTGTTTTGCATGCTCCATTTCTGTTACAATTTGCAGGTTTTTAAAGTTACATTTTATTTTTTCCAACGATTCAGGACACTGTGACTGGATTTTTACTTGCTGGAGTTGGTAATGTTGATTTGCGAAGAAAGACCAACTACCTCATTGTGGACTCAAGTATATTGACTATCCTTTGTTTTAGGAATATTTACATACGTACCACTCAATTCCTATCTATTTACATTTCTAACACCAAAACTTAAATTTTTACATATATGCCACCTTACCTATGTATGAAAAGATGTTTTTCAATTTTTAAAAGTTAACATAGTAATATTTTTTATATGATATGACAAATTCGGGTATTATAATTGTAAAGGGTAGAGTTAAGGTTTTAGTATGCAAATTTGTGGGAATTTGGTATTATGTATGTGATTGCTCCTATTTTTTATTCGATTCAACTCACCTGACTAGTTTGCCATGTTTACTCAATTCTGTTAATTTTTTTTTTCTCAATCATTGGTTTCCATATTTGCTTTTATGTTTCAACTCTAACTTGTCGATTCTGCAATTCTTTTGATTTTTTCACTTCAGGGTACATTATTTAATTTATGTCATTGTGGTGTTTTGATGCAACATATCTTCTAGATATGTTTCGTGTGAAACATATTGGATTTCTTTACTATATTTATTTGGGGCATTTACATGCATACCACCCAATTCCCATGTATTTACATAACACCAAAACTTTATATTTTACGTTCATACCACCCAAGTCTTTTATATCACTTAAAAAATACCACTTTTGATTTTTAAAAAGTGAAATGCATCTTTTCAAGCACAGGCGAGGCAACATACATGTATATTATATAGGAATTGAGTGGTATGTATTTAAATCTTCCTATTTATTTTACATTTGATCATCTTCTGGAGCGATATTGGATTTGCTCCTGCCCTTCAATGTAATTTTATCCATTATAAAATATGTTGCAGATTGTGCACCATTGATTCCACTGTGGTTATGACTCGATACCGGATCTTCATAGTGCTTTCTTTTTTCATATATTAAGGCAATATCTATCTTCCAGTATAATATGAAATCTGAATCCTGATAAATAGGAGATGGAAATGAGTGATAAAGTAATGGGCTTCAGCTAACTTTCTGATTTCAATGGTGGGTCTGATACGTAACTATGTTCAATTAGCACTCCATGCAAAATGACATGTCATAGATAGTCCTAGATTCTCTTTAGGAAGATTTAGATTTATAACACCTAAAGTTTCATATTTACATTTATAACACTTGGTGTCATAAGCTTATTCAGGAAAAAAAAGGTGTATTTCACTCTTAAAAAGTTAATAATAGTGGTATATATATAAATATGAAAGATTAGGTATTGGATACGTAAATGCATAAGAATTGTATGGTATGTACGTAAATGTCCTCATCATTGCATTGATATAATTGAAATATTTTACGGTCACGACAATCTATTGAAGGTTTAACAATGTTATAGACATATCCCAGTTTTCTTTGATCTAATCTCATTTCAGTTTGCTGACCAGTTATGACTGAATTTTTTTCTTAGAAACAACTGTAAAAGCTATTGAAGACGCATTCAAAGAGTTCACAACAAAGGAGGATATCGCAATAGTTCTTATCAGTCAATATGTAAGTACTTCTAGTGCTGTTGTGCTCATTTTGTTTTCAAACTCCCAATGACTTTTTTGGTTGCTTGGTCACAAAGATCATGTTTGAAAATGATGAATTTATGGTTCTTTTTTTTATGGGGGGCATTTGCATACATACCACACAATTATTATGTATTTACATATCTTTCACCCATGCATTCATATTTATCTGCATACCACTGTCTGTTGGTTGACATCGTTGGTATAAGACCCCTCAGGTCTGGGGTTGGAATTCCTTTTGGCGACGTGAGCCTCTACATCCAAATTTGCACATGCACACATGGAATTGTCATGAATAGAGAAAGAAAATCATTTTGGGATTAGTTAATAATGATGCAATTTTATATGGTATAGGTGGCGGACATGATAAGATTTCTGGTGGATAGCTACAACAAACCTGTTCCTGCAATTCTGGAGATTCCTTCAAAGGATCATCCTTATGATCCTACGCATGATTCTGTGCTCTCTAGGGTTAAGTATTTGTTCTCTGCTGAGTCCATCGCATCAGACAGGCGCTAAAACCAGATCCTCATCCATATATTTATTATGGCTTCAGCTAAGAGTGTAAGAAATAAAGGAAGATTTACATACGTACAGCTCTATTCTTATGTATTTACATATTTAACACCTATATATTTTTTTTACATATATGCCACCTTAGCTATGCATAAGCATAAAATGGTGGTATAAATGTGAGAAATGAAGTTGAGGTGTAGATATGCAAATACATATAAATTGGGTGGTATCTATGTAAATGCTCCAAAAATAAATCAGTTATGAATTATTGGAGGATGTAAAAAAAAAAAAATCATTTTGATTATTGGGTGACTTGTGTAATAACGATATACTTGTATGTTTGGCTGCTTGTTTAAATAAAGCTTAAAGATTGAAGAGACATTAATCAGTTTTTGTTTGCTTCCTTATTTATTTATATATTTATTTATTTTTTTATGGAAGTCTAATTATTTTTTCATCATTAGTTTTAGATGGTTAGCAAACGATTCATGGAATAATAGTAATAATAATAATTGTTCTTTTATTCAGAAACATGTTACAAGAATGTCTGTTTTTAAATAATATAAATTAATATTGCAAGAATGAGCGAAAATAATAGGAATGTGACATTAACTAGGTTGCCTTGATAGAAGATCAAATATAGTGGCTGTGGTTGTTATGTGATAGTGATTCAACAACCTTATTAGTGATAGCTTGGTGATGATGATTTGAGTGATTTGATAATGGAGGTCTAACAATTACAATCATGTTAGCCAAGCATCAATGATCTGATAACAATTATGATAATAGTCAAGCAATTGTAAGGGCAACAATACTGTCAACGGTGTGACCGTGTTACACTATCTGATGGATAAAGGTGACCTGATGATAGTGGGGGCTTTTAGATATTTACTTGGCGAAGATAATAGTGGTATGATGTCGGTAGCGGTTATTGCAGTGTTGGAAGGGTGATGGTGGTCAATAGACGATGATCAAGGTCGAATGGCAAAGTCAATTAGGAGAAGGTCTAAGAAATTGGTATGTCGTTGTGGCGGCAATGATTACGATTTGATGATCTGACGTGGACACGATATCGACGGTAATTGAGCATTGGTGATTCGACATAATAGCAGCCAAGAGATGATGATATGATGATGGTGGTAGTGCTCTGATGATGTCGCATGGCGAAGACAAAGGTATTATGAAAATAATGGTTTGAGAGTGGCATCAATGACTCAACATCAATTGGGTGACGATGACCTAACATGGTGTCGTTGGTCTGACATGGATAGCTTGATGGGTTTGTCGATCAGATGAAGATGATAGTGGCTTGGAGTTGGTTAACAGTCGTTGAGAGTGGCATCAATGACTCAACATCAATTGGGTGACGATGACCTAACATGGTGTCGTTGGTTTGACATGGATAGCCTGATGGGGTTGTCGATCAGATGAAGATGACAGTGGCTTGGAGTTGGTTAAGAGTCAGTGGTTTAGTAGCAATGGCAACCAAATGACGGTAGCCCCAGCATGGCATGGTGGCCCAACGTCGACGGCCCGACAATGATGGCTTGATGGTAGCGAAAGCGGCCTATTGAAGGTGGAGGTGGTGGCTCAACGTCGGTTGGGTGCTAATGACCTGGCGGCAATGAGTAGTGGCTTGTCGTTGGTGGTTCGATATGATAGCTATCTTCCAAAGTCAACAGTTCGATGATGGCGGTCTTATGAATGTGGCAGAAACTTGACAAAAGTTAGTCGAATATGGCGGTGGTAGCCTTAAAAAGGATTTTCGACACAACAATGAAGGCTTGACATCGACAATTTGGCATGGCGGGGGGGGGTCAGTGTCACCCTGGGG